TCAATCAATCAATCAATCAATCAATCAATCAATCAATCAATCAATCAATCAATCAATCAATCAATCAATCAATCAATCAATCAATCAATCAATCAATCAATCAATCAATCCACCCATTCACAACACACTCACAAAGGAATAAGGAAGAGTCAGCTGGCTGCACGCTTCATGGACAGCACACGCGCGTTCCCATAAGGACAGTTGTCTTGTCACAACAATATTTTCAGCGCCTCATTTTACAGATGTACTCTACCTTTATTGCTACTTCCATCCAGGGAGAGGCTGTTCAGTTTACAAATGTACTGAGCTTTCCTAGTTTTCACAGAAGAGAGTTGTTTGTCACATGCAGGACAGCACAGATGCGCACCTGACCGCAAACACGTCGCGCTTGACGCTTCCATCTCTTTGCTCTCTCATTTCGTGAGTGGATCTTGTTGAAATCTCATTTAAATGTGTTTATTGCATTATAATAGCCATCTTGATGTCATGATGGCACAGTGGAGAGGAGAAGCATCCTGCATGTGTAGGCTATGTACGCGAAAGTGTTGTTCCACCAGCAAATTTCCACGTGAGCAGTGATGTCCGAAAGGGTTAAGTGCTCGAGCGGCGTGCTCACTCCTACAGCATTACATCACTCAGCGGTCCAGAGGTGCGAACCGAGCACTAGGTGGCATCCTAGATGAGTACGGATCCGCGTCTCTCTTCAGTCGAGACATCCAGTCGGCGGTGGCGGGTGTCTCAGGGAACAGTCCCGCGCTCGCTCCCAAAGACAATGCGCAGGTGACAAGAACCGGCTTCCAGGAGTTCGTCTCTGACCCGTGCCGGCTCGAGAACTAGATCAGCGCTGACTTCGCCGTCCGCAGCGCCGCAGGATGATGCTCGGCCTCACCCCACAAGTCCATGGCTACCTCATTAGGGGTACTCTGGAGAAACAGGTGTCGGGGAAGTGACGTCACGAGCCTCGGAAACCAGAGGTGTGCGCTTCGGAGAGCAAGATGGCAGCGAAATCCGACGGTCGGGGGGTCGTCACCGGTTTCGCCCAGCTGCACAACCTGGACGAGACGGTGGGGAGCTGCGAGGACGACCCGCGGCAGAGCAGCTCCTTCCACATCTGCCACTGCTGCAACACCTCGTCGTGCTACTGGGGCTGCCGGAGCGCCTGTCTGCATTACCTCCTGGGCAAGGGGAGAGACGTCAGGCGGCCACCTCACGAGAAGCGCCTGTGGTTGGACTGCCTGTGGATCGTCCTCGCGCTCCTCGTCTTCTTCTGGGACGTGGGCACTGACTTGTGGCTCGCGCTCGACTACTACTTCAAGCAGGACTACCTCTGGTTCGGACTCACACTGTTCTTCGTGCTGGTGCCGTCGGTGCTGGTCCAGATCCTGAGCTTCAGGTGGTTCGTGCAGGATTACACGGGGGGCGGCTTGGGCTCCGTGGAGGGTCTCAGCAGCAGCCTGGGCCCAGGGGTGCACGGCAGGGCCAGATGCTGTCGCATGTCCGTGTGGGTCTGGCAGACGCTCATACACATCCTTCAGATGGGACAAGTGTGGAGGTAAGCGTCCCGTAGCCCGGTGTAACCCGTGCAGAGCAGAGCCGGAGCGGATGCGAGTCTCGCTCTAAGCGTGCGCGTTTCTCTCAATGAACATCGTGAGATCTGTGGCATCAGTGTGCGCTGAAAGTACAGTGCGTTACTGAGGTGAGTCTCACAGTGCATCTGAGGATTCATTCTGCTCAACTCTCTGAGACCGTTGGCGAGACGGGCATCGGGTTTCTCAGGCTCCCCGTGCGTCCCTCAGGAACGACATCCCTCCTTCCTGCGCTCGATATGATTGACACAATTTGCGTTCTTTGATCCTTCGCTCTTTATCGTCATAGGTGCCGTGCGTTTTAACGCAGTCAGTACAGTGTGTGCTCTATCAAGTGAGGAATCGTTCTGACGCGTGCGGGGAATATCGTCTGTGACATGTTGTACTTAATGTCTGATCCACTAGAAATGATGCGACAGTTTTTTTTCTGCAGCAGACAGACGCAGTGGCCGCATTCACATTTGTGTGGAGGCGTTCAGTTTAGCCGGACGAGTTAGCTTGATTTCGATGCCATTTATTATTCATGTCTACTCGTGTTCGTGTTTTCTCCTCTTTACACGATGTGATTATTGCTTAAAGATGAGGCTCTCTGTCATCAGTGGCTCACAATTGTCATGATGTCATCTCTTTAAAGGTGCTACAGCATCTCACGCGAGCGCGCTCTCTCTCTCTCTCTATGCGTGTACAAAAGAAATTCCTTCTCATCTTTCATATAGTCACGATACGGCCGTCTGGATGTATTTACCAAAATAAATGTTAAGTCTTTCTTAAAAGCCAAATGAAACGCTCATTTTGTAGATTACTATAAGTTAAACAATACTCTGCATTGACTAAGGTTTTAAGTTGATTTATAGTTGATATATATTGTAATATTTATTATACAGTAGGCTACGAAGGTCTAGGGATCACTGGGATCTAGAACTGACCCCGTAGAATTCTGACGCTGATTTTCTGCCGTTGCTATGCAACCAGATACGAGTTAAAAGCTTTTCTTCTCACGCGTCTGTTTAGAATATTCAGAATATTAGAATCAATATACGCGAACAATACCCGAGTGACTGACTTTGCTGAGATTGTGAAGTGTGCAACCGGTGTACCCTGAACTATCCCATAATGCCACAGGAGCAAGTGTCAGATTCATAAAGTTTAAAAATAAAAAAGGCAGAGAACTGTGAGCTGTGCAGCTAGTTTTTTTTGTTTTTGAGTGCTAACGGTACTAAGACATCTGTTGATTGCGATTAACGTGTACTTTTTGGTTTATCGTAGGTCAAAGTATGTAGTATGGACTATGGAAACTATTACACAATTCAAATGTCAATAATTAAGATCTTCATTAAATTCAGTACAAATATTTGTATAGGCTACAGCTAAAGTGAAAAAGGCAATGTTTAGCTATAGCTACCTGGATGAAAGGCTTTTGCTGTATTTTTTATTTTTTTTAAATATATTTTGGCTCTTTAAAGATGTGACTCAAGCACTCCTAGTAACACAAAACAGTTACTGCTTCATTGTGCAATGAATGCAAAACCTAAATATAATGGAAAGGCAGTTTTGAGGTAGAATGCTCAGTGGTGTATCATCTTAAAAAAGAGCAGCCTAGCTATAAAAGTGCTGGTGGAAATGGGTCTCTTTTGGCTCCTTTTATGTCTGTGTGAATAAGGTACTCGTATTTAGATTTATACTCATACATTGAACTACTATTGTAACTGTGTGCATATTCATATTTTAATGCTCATATTATTGCATCCGCCAATTCTTATTGCTTTCTACCCAGAAACTTCTGAGGCCACACACTAACTTCACCTCTCAAACTGAACCAATGATTTTCTAAGTCACACCATAACATAATTTCTATGTGAAAACAAAAAAAAAATCTATAGTGGAATTACACAAATCTGTCTTTACAGCAGCTCCTGACTGTTGGACAGATCCTTTTGCCAAAGACTTTAGAAATTGTGCATTTTAAGAAAGTGCATGAGACATTTCTCAATTGGATGTTTATTTATTCATGCTTGGCACGAGAGCCCGATGATGTCTTTGTTGGCTTCGGTAAATAGTCTGATGCGGCAGCTCCACTGCCAAGACCTCGAGCCTTTCCCAATCGTCTTGATTTGAGAGTCAGTCAGTGCAAGCGTTTTGAAAGATAAATGGGAAATAATGGTCAATTAAGCAGCCTAGGGCACTGGTTGTGTGCTTTGTTTAGCTCTTGGCATAACAATTGCTGTTTAGTTAGGGCAACTTTGTGAAAACGAGTACAGCTCAGAATTCTTACTCCCAGCATGATGCCATGTATCACTACTGTTTAATTTGTCAAATTAAAAATTACTGTAAATTTTTTTTGAAGGTTCTTGAAATAAATATATCACAATGTCCATAAAAGCACAACTGTTTTCAATGCTGATAATAATAAGAAATGTTTCCTATACGCCAAATCGGCATACTAGAATGATTTCTGAAGGATCATGTGACACTGAAGACTGGAGTAATGATGCTGAAAATTCAGCTTTGCATCACAGGAATACATTACGTTTGAAAGTATATTCAAATAAAAAAAGAGTTCTTTAAAATGTAATAATATTTCACAATATTACTGCTTTTTTATCAAATAAATGCAGCCTTGGTGAGCATTAGAGACTTATTTTAAAAATATACAAAAATCTTACTGACCCCAAACTTTTAAACAGTAGTGTATATAGGGTTTTTTAAATTTGATTTTGCAGCATGTTTGTAGTCTCTAAAGATAGATTAAATAAAAAAAATAAATGAAGAATGATTTTGAGCATGAGATAAAAATAACATATTATGGTTTGGTGTTGATGAAGATCTGCTTGAGCTTTACACAGATGCCTGGGAAATACTGTAATCCACTCCTTCCCTTCTGTTTTAAGGCACTTCCTCTGTCTCATTTCTTTATGGTGCTGTCTGTGTAAAATCATTGCTTTGCTGCTCTGTCCTCCCCATCCACTAGTTAAAGTCATAATATGCACTTTCCTTTTCTCTCCCTCGCTGCCTGTTTTCCCTTTTACATAAATCTCCACTTGACCTCCATTTCTGTAAAGGAAACTGGAGCATCTGTCGGCCTTCCCATTATTGGAGACTTTTCCCCCCTATGTGTGACGTTTAGAGCAGCCCTCCCTCCATACTCCATCACCTCTAGGACGCTCACCATCTCCATTCTCTCCTGTTTGCCCTCTCAGTGTCACACCTCACACAGAGACTCAGGTAGGATATATAGTCAGCTACTATACAGTATATAGTGGATGTCTGAGAGTGTTACGTAGTGTTTGTTTGAGACTGAGTGCTTGGAGTGGCAGTTTAAATTGGGGTTAAAGTGCACCGACAACTTGTGTCTTGAGGAAATATCACGCAGTAAATGACAAGAAAGCTATTCATTAAAACACAAGGGTCAAAGACATGACACTCATTTTTGTGTCTGCTTTTTAAATGAATAAAAAAAAAAACATTTAAAATGCAATCCATGGATTGTCTGACTTGAATACACCTCTTCTATAATGAGCAAGGTTTTATTTTCTGAATTAAAATTCATTTGAATACTTTTTAAGGTCCATAAACTCAAAAATGCCAGGATGTTACCACTGCCCTGATATCATAATCAAGAAAAAAAAATTTAAATTACTTAAAAGTCCCGTGGTCCCTAATAAAACAGACATACAATTTAACATATACTTAAAAAGAGGATATATTATGGAAATAATACACATACAAGAATATACTTAAGTGCAAACTAAATGTAATATTTTTGGATGCTTAATTGAATGTTATTCACAATTAAATGAAAAGGTATTATAGTTTAAATTTATATTAAATGCAATTGGTTAAACTTAAGAGTGCTTTTTGCTTTCTTTTTATGTAATTTTGTAATTACTTCTTTGAAATGTAATGCAGAATCTACTGACAATCTACTGGCATTTATGGTAAACTAAAACGTAGATGAATGTAATTTCTTCTGAAAAATGTATGTCATATATGTAAGAAAAAATGTATACACATTTTTATATATTTTATATATATTATTTTATATATTTTTATATAAATATAATTATATTTAATGATATTTAGAAAAGAATATTTCATGATAATTGTAGAAAATACTTTTTTACCAAGTATATTAAACGTTGTTCAGATGTCAAACGGTTAAACCATGGCATTTTTAGTCATTAAATTATAACTATTTTTGAAAATGCCCTAAAAGTTTTTTTTAAAAACCATATGAAAACAACTTAATTTCAAGTAGATTTCTAATACTTGAATAAAACTGGATTTCAAAGTGTTTTTTCCTCTTCTTTATCGTGGACAAGCATTCTGTCATTGACCCACAAACACTCAGACAGATAACCTGGTTTCTAGTGCTGGGTAGTAAAAAGAGGTGGGTAGTCTTTTTAAGCACCTCTTAAGATGCCGCTTTATTGTCCAACTGCCTCCTCAAGAGCTTTGTACGAGTAAACAGCCTTACAGTTTAGCAAGTACTGAAGACCCAGCAGCGAGTATGGGCTAATCAATGCGTTACACTGCTGACGTCCTCAGATGTGCTTACAGTAAACACTACTCCGCTGTTATTCACAGCGACCTTGCAAGCATTGTAGAACGCTCTCAGTGAGAGTCTGGGCCTCCTCAAAGACCAGCCACACTCCATGAATTCATTTACACACATAAACACAGGCTCACCACAATATGCAATTGTATCATAGAGATCTGCTGTGGAGTTTGCATGCATTTGTGTGTAATATAGGTAAGCCAGTGAGTGTGATAAATTGTCACAGCTTGTGTGTAAAGGACAGTGGGGTGGAGAGACTGACATGATGCAGTCATGCTGGAATCAGTCCAGCTGACAAAAGCCAAATGCACAATGTAATGTTCTGACTAATTGGTGAGTGTTTTCGCTTGTTAGCGTGTTGGTGTGAAGACCATACTGGGTAATTTATGTGTGTTTCTGTCATCTTGGCAG